GTTCAAATTTCATGCTTTCCCTGCCTACCCCCTCCCATTTTTTCATTCGTAAGTTGAAGCTCCATTCGCCAGTCAAAGCAAAATTTTACAAACAGAGCTGTTCGTAAGTCAAGATGTTCGTAAGTCGAGGCACCACTGTATATACATGTTTATTTTATTAGATTAAAATATGATAAGAAAATTCTGCATTGTCATTAAATATATAGATGTGCAGAAAATTGCATTGATTTCACAGGTCTCTTGGCTTTACAGGAGACATTGCTCTCCAGGCTGTATCATGTATTGTGCAGGTTAGATCCTCTTGCTTGTATTATTAACATGACATTGAGCAGCAATCGATCATGACTATGGAACAGATGTATCTGGATGATGCTTATATTTTATCACACATTTTACAGTACAGTGGTGCCCCGCTTGACGATTGCCTCATTAGACGAGGAAATCGCTTTACGATGAAGTTTTTGTGATTGCTTTTGCGATCGCAAAACGATGTTTTAATAGGGAAAAACCGCTTTACGACGATTGGTTCCCAGCTTCGGGAACCTATTTTTCACTTAACGACAATCTTTACAGCTGATCATTGGGTCTTCAAATTGGCCGCCCGCTGTGCAAAATGGCTCCCCGCTGTGTTTTAGGACGGATTCCTCGCATTACAGGCACCGGAAAATGGCCGCCCTATGGAGGATCTTTGCTGGACACTGAGGTATTTCGCCAATTGGAATGCATTGAACCAGTTTTCAATGCATTATAATGGGTCTTTTAATTTTGCTTGACAAGGATTTCGTTCTACAGCGATTTTGCTGGAACGGATTATCCTCGTCAAGCGAGGCACCACTGTATACCTAGAAGTTATCGGTTGGAGTCCAGTAAGTCAATACAGTGGCTAAAAGGGTTTTGGGTTAGTCATAAGCTTTCTCTACTGGTAGAATCCTCTTTTGCCAACTGATTTCAGAGATCTGCCAACAGAAGAGCCAAAAGGGGAGTGGAAGAGGGGCAGGACATGTTAAGAACAGAGTTATTTCAGACTCAAACTTCCTCCAGCCCAAGAAAACAGCTACATTGCTGACTCATACTTGGGCCCCAAGGGTGGTCATTCCCAGCTTCCCTAGACTGAGATGGCTTACGGTATATGTGTTTGATTTCTGCACAGCTCCAGCTGGCTTAGTGTATGCTCAGGTGGCCTTCGGCCAACTTGAATATAAGTCCTGCTGACTTCAACCCTGACTGTTGGGTCCTATTGATTTCAGTAGGACTGGAATTCAAGTCCTGTTAGCACTTATTTATTTTTGGTAGACATGCATACGATTGCCTTGTAAAAAAATTCATAAAGTTAAAAGCTGCTTAAGAGATTAAATATCTCACCAAGCTTTATATATAGTTTTAAAAATACGTAACCAAGATTCCTGTGAAAAAATTCAGTTTGAAAAAAATTCCATTCTATTTTCTGGAAAACAGTCTGCATTGTTGTATATGGAGAGCTGTTCTCAGTTTCTCCCAAGATTTTATGACAGTTCTTGCTTGCCAGAACTGAGAATGTTGATGACGAAAATAAGATTCTGATCTGTTTTCATATTTTGTTGAATAGGTCAATTTTGTTGCTTGTCAGCTCTTTGCACTCTTGGCTGCCTTTTGTTTTCGCTTGTATTTAAGTCCCAATCATGCGAGTTCTGGTGTTCGGCATGCGTTTGCCACCGTGTGTGGAGTGTATTTTGCTATCTTCTGCTTTGGCTGGTGAGTAATTGCTATTAAACTAATGTATTTCATACCTTGTATGCTACAGACTTTAAAGCATTCTATTAAGCAATTATAAAACAATTAGTAAAGTAAAGTATTTTATTAGTTTATAGCACTTGTGTTATAGCAGGGGTGGGTAGCTTAGGAAGGTCCAGATGTCATTTTTCTGTTCCTGGGACCCAAAAAGCTATTTAACACTGAAAGGGGATCCTTTTCAATGCTAAACAGTGCCGGGGATCCCGGTACTATATTTAAAAGGTGAATCGCCACTCCTGAAGGTTCTCAGGAGCTATAGTTCACCCATTTTGCTAGAAAAAGAAGAAGCTGTAGAATATGCCTTAAAAATTCAGTAAATTATTTAGGAACAAGTTGACAGATAGTTTTATATTGAGGGACTCGGATTCATGTTTGGTTTTAAAGCCAAAATCCAGTTGTTATTCTCAACTCGCCACTCCTGAAGGTTCTCAGGAGCTATACTTCACCCATTTTGCTAGAAAAAGAAGGAGCTGTAGAATATGCCTTCAGTAAATTATTTAGGAACAAGTTGACAGATAGTTTTATATTGAGGGACTCGGATTCATGTTTGGTTTTAAAGCCAAAATCCAGTTGTTATTCTGAACTAGAGTAGACCCACTGAATGAGTAGGATTTTTGGTAAATTGATATTTAAGCAAGTATCATTGATTCAGTAGGTCTACTCAAGATAAATAATTTAATGTAACCCTTATTCCATAACATATACTAAGTTAACAAGGATTTGTCCTCTTTAGTGTTAAGCACTGGTCTTACGCATGAAACTTTTATTTCTTGTTTTCAAGGTACTCTATCCATATTTTTATTTTAGTGATGATAAGCTATGGCATCATGAATATGGCCAGTATCCCCAACATTCACAGGTGAGATTATATGGCTACTGTGACCAATATGGTTTTTTAGTTTTAAAATAACTATGTAATTTTTCTTAGCTGCTTGTAGTGAATTAGTGATTACTGACTTCATACTTCTGATGCCCAGTCCTGCAGCATCCTGTATGTAAGCTACTGAACACAGGAAATAAAACTTCAGTCTAGTGTTGTTCAACTGTGATTTTCTCTGTGAAATTTTGAGTCCAGTTAATTTCCTGGATTGTCACAAGGTGCAAACTGGCGCATTTGGACTCATTATACATACCATGGTTATAACAGTCCTGCCTTGATGTAATACTTCCTGTGTGGGGCTGCCGTTGAAGGGCATTCAGCGCCATTATTTGGTAGAAGATGCCGTTGCTGCACTGTTTATGTGAGCCCGCTGGAAGAAATCTACTACTTTTCATCAACTTGCACGGATTGCCAGTTCATTTTCTAGCACACCTCAAGATGCTGGTTATTGCTTTGCTTTCTGGGGTCTGGATGGTTCAGTGAGTTAGGTATCTGGTGGTGGAATGAAAGGTCCAGTGTTTGATTCCTTACTGTGCTTTCAAGGAGAGGAGCCAGTCTGTGTAGACTTGGAGCAGTTACACTGTTCAAGGGCATCCCCAGAAGAAGGTAACAGCGAACCACTTTTAATTATTCTATACCTAGATATCCCTAGAAAATAGCCCACCATAGGTCAGAATTGATTTGATGGCACGTAATTTTGATTATTGAACCAAGAACCATATGGACTATTGCCTATGGATGCTTGGAAAGATCCATCTGCAAGTCGTTTCACTAGCTAATGGCCAAACTCCTGTTGGCATACAGATATACCACGGAAGCAGATTATGGCATAATCTAGTCTAGTGCTAGAAATAATTAGTTTAAATTTATTTAAAGAGGCCTATCCCATTGTTTTATGTTCTGAAGCTCCCAGGGCTCTTTTTTGCCATTGAGAAACCTTTGGAAGCCTCAAGACAGGGGGAAGAAGTTTGTAGTTCAGTGGTCCCAATCCTGGATTCTTGAGCAATAGGTGTTTTTAGGTCACCTTGCAGATCATAATAGTTCTTACAAGTTTTTTACTTTCTGAAAAGCTGTTTTGTTTGAGATGAAGGTGGTGGCACGCTCAGCTTTTAAGTATGGAATTCTTTGAAACGGTCAAATCATTTGTTTGGATTTGGAGCTATTTGTTTTGAGTTTTGATGAAAAATTGTTTTTGATAAGACTGGTGCCTCATATAATGAATGTATGTAATTCTAGGTACTCTTTTGTGGTAGCTATGGGATACCTCACAGTCTGCCACATTAGTCGGATATATATATTCAGTTACGGCATTCTCACAACAGATTTCTCTGGGTAAGTGATGATAATGTTTGTGTTACTATGTGTTTCTATGTAACAATAAAAAAGCAGATGAACTTAAGATCGTTTTGCTCATTGTTCTGCTGATATTAATTTACTAGCTTTGTTTAACACCTCCAAATAAACATCCAATAAATGTATGGCCAGTAATAAAATTCATTGTAGCCAAAGAGTAGGCCAGTAGTAGCACAGTGAACAGACTCCAACTGAAAATGACACTGCTGTAACTCTGCTGGTGAAAAATTTTAGCTTTGAATAAGTTCAGTGAAATTTATCTATTAGTTTTGAAATATTCTGCATTTATCGAAGTAACTTGCAGAGTATGTTAATTACCTACAACCAAATATACTGCTTATGTTTTACTTGTGGTCGCTGATTACTGCGTTAACTACCCCTGACAAGTCACTTAGAAGATTTAGTGGTGTTGTTCAGAAACTGCTGAACTATCAGGAGGTATGATTCTTAAATAAACCAAAATTTTAATATTAGATTACTTCTCTATTATGCGTATGTAGTGAACTTCCTGATTCTGATTGGCTGAGCTAGTGTGATGTCATGGAATGTGCATAAACAGTCCAGCTGCCCGGATTACAAAAGTGCTAAAATGTTTCTCTAGCTTTAGTGAGAAAAGGGAGGTTTGTACATTTGAGTTTGTGAGCTGCAGCTCACAGAATTCTGCCTGAGGAATTCTCGGAGGATTCTCAGAGCTGCAGTCGAGAAAAGAAAATACCCCTAAAATTATACATGGGGTAAAGAAAGTGGATAGGGAATTTTTTGCTTCATAATTTTAGAACTGAGGTCATCTACAGTACTTAACTTGAATGGCAGAGATTGAAGACAAACAGAAGGAAGGACTTGTTTACATGAAATGAGCAAACTCATTGCAATAATGACCACAATTTTGGAAAGTTTTCATGGAGGATTAGATGAATTTGTAGAAGACAAGGCTGTTGATGGCTTGTAGTCTTGATAGTTCCTTATTTTCTCAATTTTTGGAGGTAACATGCCTCTGTATACAAATTCCTGGGTAGCGTGAGTTGAATGGCCAGCTTGTGAATAAATAATGTTGTGTATTGCTCCACACAGTAAGTAACTAACAATAACAAACTATTATGTTAGCATCATAATGTTTTAGACAGAGAAAAACACGTTAGTAGTGTTTCTGCTTCTTGATCAGTTTTGTCTTCTTGTTTTTTCATGTAAAAGCCCAACAATTGTGCTACTTTTTCCTGTAATTGTATATCTTATTCTTTTATGCAAAGAGGATTATATTGGTGAGTTTCTTTTTCTCCTTTGTGTGTTCTTAATGCTTTGCAGTTTTCCCTATGTTTGATTTCAAGTAATAACAGCAGATGATGGTTTATATTTCAAAGGAACCGTAATCATTGTCCAAAGACAACAATCATAGCTATAGTCTCTTGGGGTTGATTTCTTTTTAGATTTGGAAATGAAAATTTGCACTTAATTGGCAACAAGAATAATTAATTGTTTCTAAGCTATCGCAATATAAGAAGTCAGAGTTTCTACAAGCTAAACAGCTGTATAAAAGAGCATTTCTGTCTCAGGAATGAGAAAAATGCAGCCTTTTCTGGTAGTAATTCCACTGCAGCTCCCAATACACCCTTACTATAGGCCATGCTGGCTTGGGGTTGATGGGAATTGCAGTTTGAGGGGCTTCATTTTGTTTTCCCCATTCTGTCTCATTCCTAACTGGGACCTGCATTAAACACATCACAGAGAACCAGCCACCTCAAGACCAAGTACTTGCAGATATGTCATATTTCCCTGGTTTCTTAAATATTCTCAGGTTCTATGTCAGTTTTCCTAATAGCCCAATTGTCTGTACTCTGTTCATTAAGCCACAGTTTAAAAAACTGGTAAACTCTTCCATGACATTGCTTCTTTAGGTTGTACTACCACTAAAATATAGTTACTGTATCTCTTTTTAGTAAATGTTCATTGTCATTGGTGAACATGGAAAATAAAATCAGTGTTGCACAGAGTGTAATATATTTTGTGATTTCAGGAAGACATTAAAGTATTAGCTTCCAGTACATGTCAACCAATGGTTGTGAGAACCATGTATGCAGTAGTATCCTGGTGAAATACCTTTTCATTATTTGGTGCAGTTTAGCGAGTCAGACATTTCAACAATGAACTACTTTCAATGAGGCCTCTTTAGTTTATGTGGATTTTTAATTATGTGGCTAAAAGCTCATTCAGTGGTTTTGACCAAATTTATTCCTACTTAGTGTCTGTGAAGAATTTATTTGCGTCTCTTCCCCATGTCAATTTGAGTTCTTTCGGCTCATCATATTTTGCTTCTTTTATTTTATTAATTACATTTTTATCCCACCCATCTAGTGATCAGATACTACTCTGGGTGGCTAACAGCAATTTAAAAGCACAATTCTAGTAGTTTTTTTCTGTGGAAATTAGTTTGTTTGGGATGACCAAATCCCTCAGATTAATAAAGCCACCTTTCTCTCCATTTCTGATACTGATTATAGTGCTACTCCTGTCCTCTGAAGATGCCGGCCACAGAGACTGGCGAAACTTTAGGAAGAACAGCCTTCAGAACACGGCCAAAGAGCCTGAAAAACCCACAACAACCACTGATTATAGTTGTCAGTCTTTGCTAAAAATGGATGATCTAGGAAAAAGTAGCAAGAAGACTGGGTGGAAAAGATGAGAGAGGAAAGTGAAGTGTACTCGTCCAGTGTTTTGAGGACAATTTCTCTCTCCAAACCAAGTCTTAACTGAAAGCACCAGCTGAATGCTCCCAGCTTTGCATTTCCCTCACCTTTGTTGTGCTGGGAGGTCCCAGGTATCAGGTGCCACTTTGGGAGCTGACAGAATTCAGAGAGTGCCTGAAGTGCTGGCTTCGGGTATTCAGTACGTTTCCCTTCCGTCCCTCACTCCTGCTTCAGCCAGGATGCCACTCCAGAGATATGGCGATACCCTTATGTCATTTGGCCTCTCACTTCAAATCTGATACATCGTCTGCAGTATTGGTCCAGTCATCATAGGTGGCCCTGTAATTTGCATCTTACAATAGTGAAGTTGCAGTGCATGCTAGTTGCTACAACATTGTCCTTCTGTTCTGCAATACCTCAAACTGGTTGCATTTCTCTAATCTTTGCTAACTTCAGTGTCCATCAGTATGTTGTGAGATGCGTAATATTTTGCAATAAAATTGTTGTTGGCACCACAATTTTGTGTGTGCTTGCTGGAAGTAAGTTGCATTCTATCTACGACAACGTACTTGCTAATAACTGTGGTTGCAGTTTGTTGAAAGGTAGTGTCATAGGTAAGCACATTGGGCTTGAACTAAGGTGAGCCAGGTACATCCTGGAATTTGGTAATACAAGATGTATATTGCCTTGAGCTTGCTCGTCAATAAATGTGTACATGCAGTAATGGTTGATGAAGACATGAGAGGGAGCTTTCTTTGTGGCACCTCCCAGACTATGGAATGCTCTCCCTTGAGAAATCAGGTTGGCCCCTTTCCTTTTAGCCTTCCACTGACACCTGAAGACCCATCTTTTGAGGCAGGCTTTTAACTATTATGATTGAGTCCTTGAATGCCTTTTAAAAGTTAAGATACTTTACAGTGGTATCTCTACTTACGAACTTAATCCATATTGGAATGGCGTTCGTACATCGAAAAGTTCATAAATTGAGGCAAACTTTTCCATAGGAATGCATTGAAAACCATTAATCCGTACCTGCTGTTTTTTGTTTGCATGTCAAGCTGCTGTTCATAGGTAGAGGCATTAGTTCCCACAGGAACTAATGCAGAGCCGGTTAATCTGTACTCTACCATTAGGGGGATAATTTTTAATTTTTTTTCTTCTTTTGACCTAAGATGAACTTAGGTCAAAAAAAGGGCCGGAAAGGGTTTTTTCGGGGGTTTTTGTGTTCGTAAGTCGAGGGTCCATTCGCAAGTCAAAGCAACTTTTTGCGGATGGAGACGTTCGTAACTCGAATCATTCGCAAGTGAAGACATTCGTAAGTCGAGGTACCACTGTACTTATTTCTAATTATTCAGTTGTGTGTCGATTGTTTTTTAATGTTTAACTTATTATGTTCTAAATTCTAATCTTTTAATAATGTGAGTTGCCTTGGATCCCCTTATCAGAAGAAATGCCAAGGTCTACCCGTATCACTCACACAAGTCAGGAGGTGAGGCTGAGGAGCCTGACACCGAGAGAGGCCTGGAAGGAAAGAACTAGAAACCAGACCTTCTCGGCGGTGGCTCCTCGCCTCTGGAACAATCTCCCTCTGGTGATTCATGTGGCCCCTTCGCTGGGTATCTTCAAAAACCAACTGAAAACATGGATGTTTGTATAGGCCTTCCCTCCAGTTAATCCTTGATTACCTCTTCCTTCTTTCTTTTCTTTTGCCATCTTGAACAATCTATTAATTTATTAGTGGATGTTATAATTTTTTGTATATATTTATATGTTTTTATTTATGTATCTGGAAGCCGCCTAGAGTGGTCGCAAGACCAGATGGGCGGGGTATAAATAAATTAAATAAATAAATACGGCCTATAAATGAAATAATAAGATAGAAACAAACAAACAAATAAATAAAGCAAGCCTGTAAATGAAATAATAAGATACAACCTGTCTTTCTATATTGTTTTATAGCCCACTAATGATCATAACACAGAAGATCACAACTCTTGCATTCCAAGTGCACGATGGTAAGAAATATGGCATTTCTACTTCCCATCCAATTCTACTTCTGGACAAAATTCTCAATACACCTTGGCAGCTTTGGGGGAACAGTGGGCAGCTTTTACTGCATATGACAAGACCTTAAGTTATCTTTTTACAGTGAGAATTTTGTCTCCTTTCTGTTGCAAAAAGCAAAGAAAACTGGATGGAACTGTAATGCATGGACATCTGACCTTATTTGACCTTTCCCTCTAAATCTGTCAATATAATTAGAAGAGAACTGAGGCATCATGACTGGTTCAGCTTAATTCCTGGTTCAGTAGTGGATAGCCTAAACATTTTAACCCCTAGTCTCAAGCTTAGTTTCTTTAACAGGGGACCTGACTAGACAGGACACTGGAAGCAGTCTACCTGTCACAAGCTTGCCTCAGATTGGCAAGTTAACTTGGGGTGGAGTTTTTCCCCACTTGTAATGGATCAGGTAGGAGATTGCCAGGGCTAACCCCTGTCATGGGACCGTTGCGTTGGACCTATTTCTCTTGAATGCCTGGCTTTGTTTTCCGGCAGCCTTGGGAACAGCCATTAAAAAGCACAACTCCATACATTTGCCATGTGCTTCCTCCACCAGTGCTATATTACTTGTTGCTGCCACCATCACCAGCGGTGCTGTTATTCCCCTGCTCTTTCCATTTGTTCTGTGGGAGAAGGTGGTGCAGAGGTATCACTGCATCTTTGTATAGTTTGGCCAGGAAATGCCAGCGCCTCTGGTGGTTCCACTGACTTACAGAGATGTTGATGCCAGCAGCAGTCATCCTTCCTCCTGTGACCCTGTGGTGAAGAAGTTTCACCATTTTTGCTCCTGTTGTTGTCATCTGCTGTGGCAGCAAGTCTGAAATGCTAGCTGGTGAATGGTGTTGATGGCGAGGAGTTGCGGAACAGCCCTCCTTATTTGATGTGGGGTACGACCACCATGCAGTTTGTGGGAGGTAAAGGCATTGCTTCTTGCCTCAGGCAGCTGGTAGGGTTGGGCCATTACTGAAAACAGCATCGCTTGATTTAAATGTCTGATGACATAGACAGATAGTACTGAAAGAATTGTGTTACTTAGAGGGATAATGTTGCAAGAGGGAGAAACATGCCTTTCCCTTAACCTGTGATCTGATGCTGTGCAGCTGTTATTAACTGGCTCATATTTATGGAAGGGTTCAAAATATGGCATAGACCCTCTTTTCTTTATTTGTCAAAAGCTCCCCCCTCCACTTTCTCTTGGGGAACAAAAAGCTGTCAGCATTTTCACATCTGTGTTCACCCCACTTAATTCTTGTATTCCACCTTCTTTTTTTTTGGCAGGAATAGGTAAAAAAGCTGAAGAGCTAACTACAGAACAGAATCAGCTTGCTGTTAAGTAAGGAAGTAACCATTCAATTAATTTGATTTTTTTAAAAATAAGTTTTGTACTGTTTGTAGGTACACTTGTAGAATAGTCGAGGTATGGTTCCCCCCTTTTTAATTTAGTTTTGTCACTTAGTAGCTGGAATTTCTGAAGTGTTAAGGTATTATATAAACACTTCATACATGTTGGATTTCAGTAGGTTTATTTTTGAGACCTGTTGTTTTTTGAAGATAGGTTTCATGTTAATAGGCTCATTGTTTTTCATATAAAGTGTACATAAACTAAGCTTGGTCTTTAATATGTGTTCTCTCCATAAACTCGGTGATAGGCACGCAAATGTATGAACAGAATGTCAGCTGTTGAAATATTTCAAAAAAGAGAAACCTCCTGCCTCTTTTCAGGCTTTCTTTCTCCATACGTTTGCCATGTGCCATATACACTTTGAGAAATGCTGAGGAAACAGACACAGTTTATGATTTGGTACCTACTTAACAGGAAGAGTAATGTTATTTAACTAGAAATACGCAAGGCCTATTGTTCATGGAAATCTAAGAATTGGTTTAGGCAGTGATCCTAATAATTTATTCTTGCATGTTCTGTTGACTTTTGCAGAACGTGCTTGCTCCCAAACAAATGTAGTAAGGATCAGAGCTTGGGAAAGTTATTCTGTTCTATTCTATTCTGTTCTATTCTATTGGATGGTAGTTCCTGGAATCTCTTGAGTCAACAGGGCCACTGACTTAGGATCAGGCTGTTCATACAATAACAGCTCTTCTGTTTCAGCCTACTGTAAGAATGAATATTGAAACTCTTTATTCCAATAACTTATATTTATGACTTTAACTACCATATTTGCCGGCGTACAAGACAACTTTTTGGCCCTGAAAAACATGTCTCCAAGTGGGGAGGGGTCGTCTTGTGCATGTCTAGCAAACCCTCCCTCTCTCCCAGCGAAGTCACTTACCTGGTAGTAAGACCCAGTAGAGCCCCGCTCTTAGCCTGGGAATAGCCTGACTCTAGCGCCAAACAGCTGACTGTCAGAACAGCAGAGAGGCGGCAAACATTTTGGGACCACATCACATGGCTGCTGCCTCTCCAAAATGGCTGCCGCCTCTCCAAAATGGCCGCCATCTCCGAAAAGGAACCAAAAGGGGCAA